TGGCTGCCCAGTCAGGTTACCCATGGTAAAACGTAATTTGAACTTTCTCTTTTAATGCACTCTACCAGGCTTATACTTGGAAGTACTTAACACGTACGGCAATAAAGCCTGTTTTGTTTTAAAGCCAAGGAAAATATCCAGGAAATGAAGAAAGAGCTTGATTCGCTTTTGCAAACAGCTGAGAAGGCATTTACAGTGGAGCTGCTGAAGATGCCAGTTGCCATCAGGAAAATGAAAAGAAAAGAATTGCTTAGTAAGTGTGTGTGGCCTTATATCTGCAAGGGATGCAGATGTCATTATAGCATAGGATCATAGAATGTTTTGGGTTGGAAGGGACCCCTAGAGGTCATCTAGTCCAACCCCCCTGCAGGGAGCAGGGACACCGCTAACTAGATCAGGTTGCTCAGAGCCCCATCCAACCTGGCCTTGAATGCTTCCAGGGATGGGGCCTCCACTACCTCTCTGGGCAACCTGTTCCAGTGTTTCACCACCCTCATTGTAAAGAATTTCTTCCTTATATCTAGTCTAAACCTACCCTGCTTTAGTTTAAAACCATTACCCCTTGTCCTGTCACAGCTGGCCCTACTAAAAAGATTTTCCCCATCTTTCCTATAGGCCCCCTTTAGGTATTGAAAGGCCGTAATCCCCTGACTAATGTGGGAAAACCTGTAAACTTGGTGACTTTTATGAAAAAGTTTGTATTGTCTGCTGAATATTTTAAGCTAATCATCAGTGGTGTTATACTGCAGGTGCTTGGTGAGCACTTGTGTTCAAGCAGACCGACCTGTCTAAGACAGGGTATAGAATTAGTAGGTAAGAGTGTATTGAGTCTGGAGCCTGCTTTCATGTCTGCTCTTAAGTCATCTTATTTAAAACTTCAGGAGATGAGGAATAGTTACAAGTCTAATATTTTTCTGTGCCTAAAAACTTAAGCACTTCTTTCCACCTGAATCTGTTCATCCTAGCCACAGAGATTATTTTGTCTTTCTGTTAATTTTAAGTCTTTTACTACTAAGCCTTTCTCATCATCAGGTTGTTTACCTATGACAGTGAGTGAACAAGTTTAATTTTAACCTCAGATTTATGCAGCGGTTTTAAGCTGTGGTGTACAGTCAGCATCAGATGTATATTCTGGTGAGAACTGATGTTTTTGGAATCTACCTTGCAGCTGAAAATTGCAGGGGCTGCACAAAGATCGAACCGAAGGCTCTTGAAGAACTTGAGTTTATTGTAAGCCTTTGAGTATGTATTTCAATGTCTTTCTTTGAAGACTTCTGCCTAAAAGCACATTAGCTTTCAGCAGTGCGATGGATGGGGTTTTTTCTTCTTGGAATTGAGGTTATATGCTCTGTGACTATGCTTAGTGTCCTTTGGAAGATTAAAGATACTGAAATGGCTTAAGATTTTCACTGTTGTTTTGTAGGAGTGACTGACTATCCTACGAGACTTGAATCTTGTTCAAATGCAACATGTATGCTAGCTAAGGTTAACTAAGCAACTGTAGTCCTGAATTACTTGTTCAGCTTCATAGCCTGTAAGATAAGAACCTGCAGATAATAATTATGCAAGTAATAGTATATAAACAAGTTGCACTTTCTTGAGTTACAGATTTGCGAGGAGGGGAGGAAGTAGCTCTTGCTGCTGCAGTGGTAAGTGTGTGTTTTCAAATTTTATCACAGCTTACACAATAGAAGTCTTCTCTCCCTGCTGTAAACATTTCTGACAAATGATTTTGTTTGGTTGTCTGTTTAAATAGAAGATGATACAAAAAGGCTAGACAGTTATGGTGCAGTTACGAACGTTACCTAAAGCTTTAGGGTCATCTGCAGACAGAAATCCAGATGTTTCTAAAAAATAAACTGGTGTTTAGCCAATCTCACTTCTGTCACTTTCTTTTATGCCCTTTCAGTTCACTGCCTTTTGTAGGCTAATAAGCATTTACTGGGCAAAATCTGTTGACTTTCCTGTGTTGGATAAACTTTTTCTTTAAAGACTGACTGCTCTCTAGAAGATGTACCAAATCCAAAACTGGTAAGGACCAACAGCAAAAAAGGCAAGTCAATCCATTAATATATAGCTTGGTTTTTAAATTTTCTTTTTTTATTGTTTTGAACTGACCATTTGTGAAGAGGATGTTAAGCCTGAAGGATACAAGAGGGAAAAGTGTGTAACTAAAAGTATAACATACAGGTCCCCCCAGTGTGTGGAGGATCATGAGCTATGCTACTGTTGAGGTACTTTAAAACATGAGAGAAGAGTTCCTGCCCTTTGGATTTATCACTGAAAATAGTGACAAGAGACAGATTTAAGTGACTTGTCAGTGCTTTACAGTACAGCAGAAGAGCTAGGAAAGTCACCTCTATTTTCTCATAGGTTCCCCTTTGAGCTCCTGCCCATTGAGGTTGTAAGGAAAATACCATTTCTCTTCATACTCAAAATATGCAATAAGGAAGACACTAACACTGGAATGTAATTACATTTTGTCTGGGGGTTGAAGGGTTATCTAGTGTCTTTTAACTGTCCCGGGTGTCACGGTGTCTGTGACGAACATGCATAGTTTGCTTTGAACTCTGTCCCAGGCGAATGACATGGGGATAGCAGAACTGATACGTAGCTGTCAGTGGGTAAATAGGCTTTGAATAAATGAGTTTGAAGTGATGTTTTGTGCTCTTCATGAGATTTTTATTTTCCTTGCCTTTCTAATATATTTCTAGTTAAGGTAACTACAATTGTTGAATATGAAGATGCCAAGCATATTTCTGCAAAGAACATATCTAAAAAAGTAAGTTTACTCAGAATAAACAACATAATGGTTTAATCAGTTCTGACCTGCTATGAACCCTGCTAGATCCATGACTGGGCAGGCCAGTGGCCTGCTGTTTGTTTGAAAAATCAGTTGTTTAAAATTCAATGTATTTTAAGTTAAGCAAAGCTTCACTTGCCAATAAGTCTGATGGTTTGAGGAACCACTTTTTGATGAAACTTAAAAAAATAATGTTTTAAACATTCTTTTCTATATTTGAAGGACTTGTGCATTCTTGTCCACCTTGATCGCTAAACCAAATAGCACAGGTGTATTAATTTTACCACCTCAGTCCTTCTGTGCAATGCAGTGCCTCAGCCAGACGCTGAAGTATGTAGCAAGATGACAACAAAGACAAAAGGATTCTATGTAGAGTTACAGGCATTAATTAAAGAGGGCTTACAAGTTGGAAGGGTGTAAGTTAGAAAGGTGGTTGTTAATACAGAACTTCAGTATGAACAAATAACTTTTGGCATTATGAAACTCCTGTATTGGAATGCATATTTACCATTTTGTATATATGGAGAACTCACTCTAAAAGGCAGCACTATGGGGCTTAACTGTTCTTTTTTTAACAGGGAATTCTTACAGTATTGTTCCCTGGAAATATCTATCATTTTGTCTTAAAATGTCCTTTCTTTTAACTGCAGTCTTACCTATACATTTTCAGGTTTCCAAAACTAAGTCATTGGTTTCATTGGCCTCTGGTTCAAATAGCAAACTGAACCCTCTTTCTAGGTAAGACTGACCTTTGATAGCTTACTTAACTCACCTGAACTCGTGAATGCTGAATAAAAAAAAAGTAGCTGAGATTTGATCTGATAAAGATGTCTTCCATAACCTGAATCAGATGCATTGTAGTAATGTGAACCCTGAAGAAAAAAGCACCTCTGGCTGATGAAGGGATGTCGTTGCATCTCTCACTCACTGAATGGTGCACAGTTCTGAATCTATGTAATCAGTATAGATTTCCGAATACTTAATGGAAGAGAGCGTGTAAGGGAAATATCTTTGTCACTCTGTTAGGACTAATGAATTGTTCTGTAATAATTTTGCCCTCGTGCATAGCTGGAAGGGAGGTGTCATTAGCAGGAAAATACACACTTGCAAAAACCCCTTAGAACTACTGGCAGCCATGATGTACCAAATTCATTAGATCTTATAGTGAGACTGGAACTAAAAAATTGGTGGATATCTACATAAACTTTTTTTGAGAAGCTCCTGCTACCCCTTACAGTTCCAGTGTGCATACTTGTACCCACTGGCACTTATTTTGATACATGCAAATTGTCTTCAGAGAAATGCGATGTAAATAATGTATCAGTGTTTAATGTGCCTAAAAGAAATTTAAAAAATCTTAGCCATGTTTAGTTTCTTGAATTGGGATTCTAGAATTTTTGTCTCCACAAAATCAAACTAGAGAAGGCTGCTTTGCCTGGGGAAGTCTAACTTTTCAGTCTTCGAAGGTTGCTTTTATTCAAGTACGCTAACAGTGGGCCAAAACCACACACCATTATAGTATCTCTTGTGTGGGTAAAAGAGAGACAAGAGGAAAAACTGAGGTAAACTTCTGTCATCAAGATTTCTGCGAACTGAGTTAAAATCCAAAACTGGAAGAAAATTGTTCTCTGGATTCAGGTCAACCACACAGAACAAATATCCTGAAAAGTAATCTAGAAAAATTAATTCCTG